CGTGGAGTATTGAGTCGGCCCCTGCGGGTTTCCATAGCCGCCGACAGAGTGATTTGTGCCACAGAGGTCTTCCGGGGATGTGTATTGGAGATATTCGGGGTCGAGTTTCCGATCGACCTGATTCCGATTGCGATGGGTGATGTCTGTGTTATAGTGGGAATGGATTGGTTGAGCCGATTCGGTGCGGTTATCGATTGCGAGCAACAGCTGGTGACTATACGAGATCCTAGTGGGGGAGTTCTTTCAGTGTACGGCGAGGGTACACGTTCTGGACCAGCCTTTTGTTCGGCTGCTAGGGCGAGGCAGTGTTTACAGCAGGGCTGTAAGGGTTATGTAGCGTATGTGATGGATACGCGAGTGATCTCCGAGAGACCGAGCTCTGTGGAGGAAGTTCCGGTGGTGCGGGAGTTTCCAGATGTATTTCCCGAAGAGTTACCAGGTGTGCCTCCCGCGAGGCAAGTGGAGTTTGGCATCGATTTGGTTCCGGGGGCCGCGCTATTGCTAAGGTGCCGTATCGCCTTGCGCCTCCGGAGATGCAGGAGTTATCCTCGCAACTTCAGGAGTTGCTGGGGAAGGGGTTTATTCGGCCGAGTAGCTCGCCGTGGGGAGCACCCATCTTGTTTGTGAAGAAGAAGGATGGCTCGCATCGCATGTGTATTGATTACCGGGAATTGAATAAGCTGACGGTCAAGAACCGTTACCCGCTACCGAGGATCGACGATTTATTCGATCAGCTACAGGGAGCATCTTGGTTCTCCAAGATTGATTTGAGGTCGGGCTATCATCAGGTGAGAGTGCGGGACGAGGACGTCCAGAAGACAGCATTCAGGACGCGTTATGGGCATTATGAGTTTGTGGTGATGCCTTTTGGGCTCACTAATGCCCCGGCTGTGTTCATGGACCTCATGAACAGGGTATGTCGGCCGATGTTGGATCGGTCGGTGATTGTTTTCATTGATGATATTCTGGTATATTCGAGATCTAGTGAGCAGCACGAGGAGCATTTGAGGGAGGTGCTTGGGGTTTTGAGAGCGGAGAAACTTTACGCAAAGTTCTCCAAGTGCGATTTCTGGTTACGGGAAGTCCAGTTCCTGGGACATCTCGTTAACCAGAAGGGGATATTGGTCGATCCGGCCAAGGTTGACGCAGTGATGAGGTGGGAGGTGCCGAGGTCACCTTCTGAGATACGGAGTTTTCTCGGGTTGGCAGGGTATTATCGGAGATTTATTAAGGATTTCTCCAAGATTGCGGTTCCACTCACCAGATTGACCCGGAAGGGTGTGGCATTTGCATGGGGTCCCGAGCAGCAGACCTCCTTTGAGACGCTTCGCCAGAGGTTGTGTGAAGCTCCAGTATTAGCCCTTCCGGAAGGTATGGAAGGTTTTGTGGTATTCTGTGATGCATCGATCCTAGGATTGGGAGCGGTATTGATGCAGAAGGGTCATGTGATAGCTTATGCATCGAGGCAGTTGAAGCCTCACGAGACGAGGTACCCCACACATGATTTGGAGTTGGGGCAGTGGTGTTCGCCCTCAAGATTTGGCGGCACTACTTGTATGGGTTCGTTGTACGATTTACACGGACCATAAGAGTTTGAAGTACTTGATGGATCAGCCTAACCTAAATATGCGGCAGAGGAGATGGTTAGATGTGGTCAAGGATTATGATTGTGAGATCTTGTACCACCCGGGCAAGGCTAATGTGGTAGCCGACGCGTTGAGTCGCAGGGCGGAGAGTACTCCCCTGCGAGATGTATGTTTGAGATTGACCGTGATAGCTCCAGTTCTGGACACCATTCGTGGGGCTCAGGCCGAGGCCGTGCGTCCGGAGATGCAGAAGAGAGAGCGGGTTGTTGGGATGGTTTCTGAGTTTATATCGGATAGTCGAGGCCTTATGACTTATCAGGGCAGGATTGGGTACCGTTTGTGGGCGGTACCCGTACCACATTGTGGAGGAGGCTCATAGATCGAAATTTTCGATCCACCCCGGGGCCACGAAGATGTATTTGGACCTAAGGAAGGAGTATTGGTGGCCCTGTATGAAGAGGGATGTAGCATGGTTTGTCGAGAGGTGTTTGACCTGTCGAAGGGTAAAGGCCGAACACCAGAGACCGCATGGAAAGTTGCAGCCATTGGAGGTTCCCGAGTGGAAGTGGGAACAGATCACCATGGACTTTATCACCAAATTGCCGAGGACTGCCAGAGGAGTTGATGCAATTTGGGTGATTGTGGATAGATTGACAAAGAGCGCTCACTTTCTTGCCATCAGTGAGAGTTCTTCAGCAGAGAAGTTGGCGGAGGTTTACGTGAGGGAGGTTGTATCTCGGCATGGGGTGCCGATCTCGATTATTTCAGACCGTGATGTGCGTTTCACTTCCCGTTTTGGAAGAAATTTCATGAAGAGTTGGGTACTAAGTTGCATTTTAGTACCGCATACCACCCCCAGACCGACGGTCAGAGTGAGCGGACGATACAGACACTCGAGGACATGCTTCGGGCTTGTGTATTGGATTTTGGGGGTAGTTGGGACTCGTATTTGCCTCTAGCGGAGTTTTCCTACAATAACAGCTATCATTCGAGCATTGGTATGCCGCCCTTTGAGCTGTTATATGGTAGGAGGTGTCGGACTCCCATATGTTGGGGAGAGGTTGGGCAAAGGGTAATGGGCAGTACAGAGATCGTGAATCAGACGACAGAGCAGATACAGCTGGTCAGGCAGAGGTTATTGACCGCTCAGAGCCGGCAGAAGAGTTACGCGGATAGGCGTCGGTCCGAGTTGGAATTTCAGGTCGGCGACTTTGTTCTCCTGAAGGTCTCTCCTTGGAAAGGAGTGATCCGGTTCAGGAAGAGGGGCAAATTGGGACCCCGGTTTATTGGCCCGTTTCGTGTGATCGCCAGGGTAGGCCGGGTAGCCTATCGGCTGGAGTTACCAGCAGAGTTGGGACAGATTCACAACACTTTTCATGTATCGCAGTTAAGGAAATGTATAGCCGATGAGTCGGCAGTGGTTCCACTTGAGGATATTCAGGTTGATGCGAGCCTGAATTACGCGGAGAGACCAGTGGCTATTAGGGATCGGAAGATCAAAGTTTTGAGGAACAAGGAGGTACCTCTGGTATTGGTTCAGTGGCAACATCGGAAGGGATCAGAGATGACCTGGGAGCCGGAGGGTATGATGCGGGAGCAGCATCCGGAGCTGTTTTAGAGCGGGACTTCGAGGGCGAAGTCCAGTTCTAGTGGGGGAGAGTTGTAACATCCGGATTTTACCAGGTATAATGTGAGTTTAATTGTGTTATATTGTGAGAGGGACTCGGCGAGTCGGGGCTCAGACTCGCCGAGTAGGGACGCGGGATTAATCGAGGGTGCGCACTTGGACTCGGCGAGTCCAGGGTATGGACTCGGCGAGTCTGCGCTGGGTTATGAAACCCTAAATCTCTGGGTTTGTGGCCTATTTAAGGGGCCTTATGGCCGTCATTTGCGCTCACCCAACCCCCAGAGAGTGTCCCTAGAGTTCTTGAGCGTTTTGTGAAGGAAAGAGAGCCAAATCTTGATCTTGTGTGTGTTGCTTAGCAAGAAGAAGGAGGCCCTAGGCAAGAGGAAGCAAAGGAGGTTGCTATTTCGTGGATTTGGAGCTTGGATCATCACTCTAGAGGTACTATTTTTGGACCATTTTCTGTTTGGTGAAACTTGATGCAAGTTAGGGCTTAATATGATCATTTATGGGGTGATTTGGTGCCCCTTTGGTTCCCTCTTTGAGTTGAGACCATGGATCTGGATCCATAGAGGTCCAGAGGGCCTCACTCATCAAGCTTTATGGGTGGAAATGGAGTCCTTGGCCTTGTGTTGAAGTAGTTGAGTCAAAAACATCAATTGTGAGCATGTAGAGGTTATTTATGCATCAAGGTTGTACTTTACGTGCTAAATAAGCATGGGGGGACTGGATCTATGGATTAGTGGACTGGATCTGGCCTTTAGAGCAAGATTGAGTCAGTGCATGGCTCTGACTCGCCGAGTCCGAAGAACAGACTCGGCGAGTAGCTTGAATGCTGCACGACCACTCAGCGAGTGGCCTCGCCGAGTTGGGATGAGTGAACTCAGTGGGTCAAGGGGGAGTCAGGATGGACAGGTGGACCGAGTCAAACCGGACTCGCCGAGTTGTTCTTGAGACTCGGCGAGTTGAGTCGTGGTGGCCCCACAACTCGTGCCAGGTGGAGCTCGTCGAGTGGGAGGGGATGCTCGACGTGTCAAGAGAGGATTCCAGGGAAATTGGTGAATGCGCTCAGACTCGCCGAGTCGCTATAGTGCACTCGCCGAGTCCGGTCAAGTTGACCGTTGACCAGCATTGACCTAGATTGTCCTGTTATGGTATGGTCAACCCTAGTTAGGAAAGTGTTAATTAGAGATATATTGTGCTGTAGGGGGACTCCAGCTCGGCAGATCGAGTGTTTAGCGATTTCAGGGTTACGGTTTACCGAGACACACGAGGTGAGTCTTCTCACTATACTTTACCTTGAGTAGGTAACCAGAGTTATGTGATAGGGTATTTGTATGCTATGTAGGTTATGTGTTGTACTGCATTACTTTTATGTGTTTGATGCTGTGCATGTTTACAGAGCTAGAACCGGAAGGTTCACAGAGTTAGAACCTGAGGGTTCACAGAGTTTGGGTGCACGGACCCACAGAGTTATAGCCTCGAGTGGCTAATATGTGTTATATGTAGTATTTTGGGAAACTCACTAAGCCTTGTGCTTACAGTGTGGATGTTATTTGTTTCAGGTACTAGTGACGACCGTGGGAAGGCGCCGGCTTGATCCGTACACACACGTTTGGAACTTGACATTTTGGATCTTGGGATTTCGTACTATTTTGTTGAACAATTAAAAGGGGTGTTTCTATGAATATTGATGGAATCATGTTTTATAAAAATTGAAAAAATTTGTTTGAAAAATCAGTGTTACAAATTGCTGCTAGATCTGATCCCACATCGGTTGGGAAGGAGAACTAAGCATTCGTTATAAAGGGTGTGGATACCTTCCCTATCACAACGCGTTTTAAAGCCGTGAGGGCAGCAGATCCCATAAGAACTCTGCAGTTAAGCGTGCTCGGGCGGGAGTAGTACCGGGATGGGTGACCCCCTGGGAAGTCCTCGTGCCGAGTGGCCCAAAGCGGACAATATTGTGATACGTGCCAGAGGGGGGTGTTACACCTTTAATATTGTAGCTATTTCCATATCAAGTTTTGCAACTTCATGGATGTAGTATATCAACATCCTCTTCAAGTGAGAAACAATCGTCTCATACTTTGCTCCGTCTTTTAAGAGAATAAGGAACAGGGAAATCTAGTCGTTCAGATTCATAAACGGAAGATCAGCAAGAATGAAGTCAAATTCAGTGTGACTTGCTCCTTTGAATCCTTTATATTTGATGTTCGTAAAGTGTTCGACAGGAAAATAAGCATAAAATTACGTAGCTAGAAGCTTCCTTAAACTCCACATCTCGTACTGAGGTTGGTTGTGGTTAAGATAAAACACAAAGATCTTGTTATTGACTTCATAGTCCGAAAGAGGACTTTTCTCAATATGTTTGAAGCCTTGGAATAAGAAAGCTTTCAGAGTAAGAGGGAAGTCGATCTGAGATTCAGAAGTATTTCTCAATTCAAAGGACGTCGTTGGCTCTAACCAGTGAACATCCGGATCATCGATATCTTCCTATTGAATCCTTTATAAAGTCTAAAGAGGAAAAAGTGATTTCTGAGTTGCATGTGTAAGGTTTGCAATCTCAGTGTCTTTTTCTTTTGCTTCTATCTCTTCACAAAGAGACTGAATATCGTTAAGCACCTTGTCTCTTTTCTTCCTGACCAGCTTTTCACTCTCCGACAAAACTTCCTCTTCATTTTCATCATCAATGAACTTTTCTTTTCCTTTAGATCTCGAAGCTTAATTAACCTTCATATCTATCTTTGGTTTACCTTCATGTGGTTTCTTAGTAGGTTTATAAATCTGGGGCATCTGGGGCTTTGGTTGTTATTTTTCCTTAACATTTCCCCCTTTGTTTCGGAAGAGCATCGCCTTCCGAAACACCTTCGATTGGGATTATCATAGCAAAATATGTACTTAGCTTCTCAGTTAGATCTTGGCGAACTGAAACAGTAAGGATGGAGTCTCGAGTTTCCACCATATGATGCAAATATTGATTCATATCAGAAATGCAACTTTTGATTACCACCTTTTCAGATTCCAGATCATCCAAATGTTTAGTTGCATAATTGATTTTGGTAAAAAGAACCTTGTACTTCTCAGTCTTTGTAGCTAACTTATCCATTATGGCATTTTCAGTAGAAAGAACCTCTTGTAGCTTCTCAATATTAGATACTATAGAAGCACTCATCTTGGAATTATCAACCCTGAGTTCAGAATGAACCTTAGATAGAGCATCGTTTTCAAGTTGAAGGGTGGTTCAGAGACCTGCGATAACTTTGTTTGCAGCTTCATTATTTTGATTCGAAGAGAGTCGAAAGTCTGCCTTAAACTTCATAACATTAGTAAGTAGTTTTTGACTTTTTCCATCGTTTCCCGAATGGTTTTCTCAGAATTCTCAATTACTTTTGTAGATTCAACAAGGTTTTTAGCATGCTCCTTGGTTAATGTCTTAATTATAGCTTTATGAGACTGAAACATATACTCGTAATTTGAAGAAGATTTGGAAGACTCCAGTAGAGAATCCAATTTTTCATTAAGGGCTGTGAACTGTCCTTTAGTTATTGGAGTGTCATCCTCATCACTGGCTTGACGAACTGTAAAGGGACTAAAGACAAAGTGCTGAAAAGTCATCTTGATCATCACCATAGATAACATCAAAATCATCATCTCTCAATGGGGTAGCGATTGAAGTATTTGGACCAACAGAAGCAACAAAATCAAATGCCCCCGTATCAGATACGTTGATAGTCGACATCGAAGTACTGATGGTAGTTGTGGTTGCAGTGGAATCAGTATATAGCGGAGTGGACAAAGGTATAGAAATTTGGGATTGGGAAATTCCAAAACAAAATTTTAGCAATGGAGCAATGGTAATGGGTGTAGTGGTTCTAATTGAAGAAGAAATGGTAGTCAAAGAAGGTGGAGGTGTAGTCATGTTAAAGAAATCATACGTTGAAGGAATGGAAGTGGAAATCAGAGAAGACACCTTTAGAGTCGATTCGGTTGGAGTTGGTTTTGAGACCAATGGTTTTGAAGTCGTAACAGTATCCTCAGCTTCCTTCCAAATTTCTTCACTCCTCCGAAAATCGATAATAGTATGGGATTTCGAATACTCCTCAGCGATTGAAGAATGACAATTTGGTTTCTGAGCAACCTTCTTAAATATTTTCTTCGGAGTTAGGACAGGTTCGGAAGGACCTACCTTACGCTTTCTATTTGCTCCATGTTTGGGTTTGTTTGCCTCATTAATATCCTGTAGCAGATCTTCTGGCATAGGGCGAACGCCAGATGTAAGTTTCTTTCGGTATTCGTTCACAACAAGATCATTAACAGGAACATTCCACAACATGGCTTCTAGAATAGTCCCAATGATGTTAAACTTGGTTGGATCAGACGTTATAATGTTGGTAGTCTGCAAGATAGCAATAGCCGCTAGTACAGAGTCATCATGCACTTGAATCTGATGACGAGAGATGGCATGCTTCACAATGACATACTAAAAGCGAGCACAAGAATTTTCTGAATGCCTGGACGTGGAGAGTGTGCTCTGAACAAGTTGTGCCAGAATAATGGAACCATAATCTAGGTTAAAACTAGAGAAGAACCCATAAATAATTATGCAAAACAATTAGCTAGCCCTATCAGACCTAGTACCTGCTCAGAGAAGCTTTTGAACATGAGAGTAAAGAGCTCATTCCATATATGAGGAAGGTTGGGCTTCCTGAATTTCAACAGCAACGAGATATCCATAATATACCCCATTTGATAGAACATCTTGATGATTCAGATGAAGAGATCGATTCAGGATCGATAAGACCATCAGTAGAACTAAACCCCAAAATTTTCTAAACTATGCTTTAGTGGTGGAGGTTTTGATGGAATCAAATTCAAAAAGAATCAAGCCTTCATTTTGATTGTAGTTTGCAGATGAGTACGCCTTGGACAGATAAATCAATGGTACATATTCAAACATTGTTAGGGCTTGAGCCAATGGAGAGTAACACAAGCATTTTGTCAATGGCTTGAGGATGCAAGAGTAACAGGATAAATCAAGATCCAAATCTAGATTCTGGTTAGGCTTGATTTTCAGCAAGACATATGAAGCAGTTTGACTGGTATGAGAGGTGGTTTCAGATGAGACATCCATGGAAGTAGCTTGAAGACGATGATGAACAGTTGAGAGAGAAAACATGATTTTGTTTAAGAGAGAAACATTTGAGTTCTTTGTGTGGTGAGAGAGAGAAAAACATCAAAAAAACCCTTTTATATGTTATGATAGGTGAGAGAAAATCACACTTGATGTTTCCATATCCTGATAAAGTATCCTTGATCGACGTGGCAATTCTAGATGTCAGGCGGCGTTACAACTGACCATGCGTGATGTCAAGCATTTTTAATTTTACGCGCCTTTAGTGAAATCTTATTCACGAAGAAAATTGCCTTTTTAGTTGCTATCATTTCGGATTGAATACCAAAACACTATTTAATGTCTTCTAAATCAATGTAATCCATAAGAATTACTACAAGACTTGAAAAATCATAAATATTTTTGTGCAAGAGTGTGCCAAAGAAAAAGAAATAAACCAAATTAGTTTCTGTAGGATTCTGTGATATAATTTTTTTTTGACCCAAAAGCAGTTGGATCTTGAGCAATGATCTATTCCTTCGAAATCAAGAGAGATTCAGAAGTGCTTGTGTGGCTTCTCGTTGAATTACGATTATCTATTTGTAAATAAATAGTGAAAAGCGTCTTTTGAATAGGCGTTAAAGGGTGGCTTTAGCTTCAACCAAGTTCCAAAACCTAACATAAGTCTGAAAGGCTGGTAGAAGTACTTGTCTGACCAGTGTAGCAAAAATAACAAGTATGTTTTGGATCTGTTTAAGTGACTGAATAGTATAGAAATTAAAAAAATGGATCTTTTGGGAACAAAAGTATTGGGTCGAGAGCTTTTCATAAAGATCACTAAAAAAAATAAGAATGTGATTTCAAACAAGAAAGGTGTGGGCCATAAAGGTTTTACTCGCCAATTTAGTGGTGAAAATTTCTAGAGCATATTCATTGTTCACCGTCAATTTGGAAACTGGTTTCGGATTTTGGGTTTCACTCAAATCATGGTTATAATGATTTTACGATCATACACATAGATGTTATGTAACCATAAACCTCAGTGGTGACTGCTGAGAGTCTCAAGGGTTACGTTTATGAATATGAAAATGATGGAGAAATAATGGTTTCGAAGAGAAAAAGTGTACCTCTGCTATCAAAGAATGACAAATCAATCAACTCTTAACTCAATTTGAGAAGAGTAAGGTATGTCAACGCCTTATGTGATTAATTAGCGTGATTAGGAAGAAACGATCGGAATGAGAGTTTCATTAAGCCTTCAACATAGAGTATCATAGGCTTGGCTCAACATGCAACAACATGCTTCTAGGAACACTTGGCTAGTACATAGATTCGAAATTTTATACCCGCCCCATCGTTCTCAATTGAGATAACAAAAGCGTACATCAAACTAGAATGCATTCACAAAAAAGTATGTTTGTCGTTTTTTATTTTCTTAAAAAAAATTAGACAAAAATAACAAAGAAAAATATTTATGTATTTTGATTTTCTAAAAAAAAATAAAACATAAATATTAAAGAAAATATTTTTGTGTTTCTGAAATTTTCTAAAAAAGAAATAAAAACAAAAATTAATTTTCAGAAACACAAATGAACAGTCTCTTTCGAACCATTCCTAAGCTTGGAAATAGTTGGAAGAGACTTAATATACAAAGGATACAAGATATTCTGAATAGCCAAATGACAGTGGATTCTGAGTCGTTCTGAGGGCTCGCAGTCATTCGGAACATGAACAGTTGATTACGAGGCATTCCGAAGGCTCAGAGCTATTTAGAATAAGAACGTTGTTTTTCTTTACTACTATGTTTTTTGTACAGAGTTCGCTTCTATCATTCCTAATCCTTGTAGAATTTGTGAAGATTGATTCAAGTAAGGCTTTCGTAAAGATATTTGCCAGTAGATTAGCGGATCTAACAAAATGTACTTCAACGTTTCCATCCTTAACATGATCCTTAATGAAATGATATCTCAGTGTAATGTGTTTGGTTTTAGAGTGTTACATTGGATTATGACAAATCTGAATTTCACTTTCGGAATCACAGTAGAGACGAATCCTCTTTATATTTATCCCATAATCTCGAAGTTGATTATAAATCCATACAACTTGAGAAGTGTATGATGCAGCTGCGATGTATTCCACTTCTGCAGTAGATAGGGATACAAAATTCTGCTTCTTTGGTTTCCAACTAACAAGTTTGCCATCTAGAAACTGACATACCCCAGAAATGCTTTTACGATCGAGAGCACAATGTGACAACCCAAGTTGTCCCGTTACATTTCCCCGTTACCGTTAACGGAATATTCCACTGTTCAAAAGTTCCGTTAATGAGAAGTCTTCAAGTTTAATAAACATTTCAATTGTGTATGTTTATATGTCGTTAAGTTGTGATAAAAGGAAATAAAATACATAGCACATATTTCCATTTACTTGGAAAATATTAGTTTATTATTACGACCACTAAATCGGGTGCGACCAAAAGCCCCGTTTAACGGCAGTATCGGGTAGACTTCCACTGTGTCCCAACTCAAAACCCTATATAAGGGTGAGTGGAGTCTATTAGAGACTTTTTACACTCTCTCTCTATACTCTCTCTCTAGACCCGTTTTCGCCCCGAAACCGCAACCAAACGCTTCCAAATAGTAAGTCCGCTTACCCTAGCTTATTCTAAACATATTGAATTGAGTTTATAGCCCAAAAATCGGACTTATAAGCAATGAAAAAGGAGTTTACGGCCTAAGAACCTCCTTAGGCCGTAAACACCCAAAATGAGGCCAAAATGACCCAAACTTGTCCCTATAGGCTTGGAAATAAATTAAGGGGATTGCCTAGGAGTGTTTAAACATCAAAACACA